TGTTTTCAATTTTTCTTCTTGAGTACCTCGTAGCCATCGCCTATCTTCAAGATTTTGTGTTATTTCAGCAGCGTGAATTCAAAAACACAAACATACTTAGTACTGATATTTGATATGATGCGAGTCTTCAAATTAATAAGGATGGTCTTATTTGTATGTCATGTTTGTGTTGTTGAATTCTTATTATTCTGGCAAGTATGGAACGGGTAGAATGTGAACAAAATTAGACTCTCTGACTTTAAATTGATGTTGGGGTTATCTGGAGCGAAATGGAATGCTGTTCTATTTATTAATCGGTAGTTAGTTTTTATTTCTTGCTGAACATCGTTTTTTCTTATTCTGAAGCAACTATTTGTTGTTGAATAACAACTTTTTTTAATCTCTACGTTTTACAGATATTTATCTTGGGTTTCAGACATCCTTCAGGAGATCCCAGGTGCTAAATTGAAATGGATGGTGTGAAAAGTGTTGAAGAGATGTCACTTTCGGAACCCTCAACTTTCGTTGATCAGGTTGATGGAGGAGAAGTGGGAGCAGAGTTTTCTCCAAAACTTCTGCTCTTGTCAACGCGAAGAAACGCCTTATTGACACGGCAGCACCTTTTCGATCTGTCAAAGAAGCTGTTTCCAAATTTGGAGGAACTGTAGATTGGAGATCCAATCGAGCTGTGAGTATGGAGGTACATCTAACTTTGTAATTGCTTGCTTTTAGTTATGTATTTCCTCGTTTTGGAGTCGAACGGAAAGAAATTTTTTTGCTGTTTGGTTTGCCGTGTAAAAGCTGATAGCATTTGAATGACAAAGACTGAATCAATTAAAGTTGAAGTATGGAAATGAAACTTGATTAAGAGACTGGAATTATAATTTTGGCTTAGTAATTACTTCATCAAAGGTTTGGCGCATATTTGATTATTTGTAGTTTCATGGGATGCAAAAAATTTTGGTTCAGGTTTCATTAAGGTTGAATATTAAGAACCGCTACTTTTTTCCCCTGGTTGTACAGAGAATCAGGTTTGCAGAACTAAAACTCGAAAAACCAGAGGAGAACCAGCTACCTAATGAAGATTTGAAAAGCACTAAGAAGCTTATAGATGAATTGAAACTTTGCCTTGAGAAGGCACAAAAAGAGGAGCATCAGGCAAAGCAAGATTCAGAACTTATGGGGTTAAAAGTTCAAGAGATGGAGCAGAATATTGAAAATGAAGCTAGTATTGCTGCTAAAGCACAACTTGAGGTTGATGAAGCCATGCATGCAGCTGCAGTTTCAGATTTAAAAGCCATAGAAGAGGAACTGGAATCATTGCGTAAGGATTATGCTTCTGTGATGATTGAAAGTGAGAAAGCTATTAAAGAAGCTGAAGAGGCTGTTGCAGAATCCAAAAGGGTTGAGGAGACGGTGGAAGATTTGAATCTTGAGTTCATTGCTACTAAGGAGTCATTAGAGTCTGAACAAACCAAACACTTGAACCATGAGAGAGAAAGAACTAGAGCAGCCATGGTCGGAGATCTCAAATCAAAACTGGATGCATCTTCTTCTTTACTGCTTGATTTGAAAGCCAAATTAGCAGAGACAAAATTGAAGCAAAAGTATGATGAAGAACAAGGGAAGGAGCTTGAGGAAGTAAAATGCAAAACAGCAAAAGCAACTGCTGAGTTAACTACTTGAGGGTAGCTTCTATGTCATTGAAATCAGAACTTGAAGAAGAGAAATCTGTTAATGCCATGATTAGGCAAAGGGAGGAAATGGCATCTGATGCAGTTTCATCTCTCAAAGACGAACTTGACAGAACTCATTCTGAAGTAGCTTTGATTCAGGAGAAGGAGAAAGAAGCCAGAGATAAGATAATTGAGCTGCCCAAGAAACTGCAAGAAGCAGCCCAAGAGGCTGATCAGGCCAAGACGCTTGCTCAGGAAGCTCACTTAAGGCTGCATAAAGCAAGGGAAGAGGCTGAACAAGCAAAGGCCAAAGCAAATGAGATGGAAAGCAGACTACTTGCAGCACAAAAGGAGCTAGAGGCTGTTAAGGCTTCTGAAAAGTCGGCAACAGCAGCAACTAAAGCATTGCAAGAGAGTGAATCAGCTAGAAGCAACATCAATGTGGAATCTTCCTCCGAGGTAACACTTTCAATGGAGCAATATGATCAGCTCTGTAAGCTTGCGCATGAAGCAAATGAGCAAGCCCATAGGAGGATTTTAGCTGCTAATTCTCAGATTGATATGGCCAAGGAGTCTGAATTGAGAAGCTTGATGAGGGTGGAAGAATTAAATCAAGAGTTGGCTGAAAGAAGGAAAATGCTGAAGGAAGCGACCCAGAAAGCTGAGAAGGCCAGGGAAGGAAAATTAGGTGTAGAACAAGAGTTGAGAAGTTGGAGGGCTGATCAAGAGCAAAAAAGGAATGCTAGTGAAGTAACCCAAGGAAAGGTAAATCAGAACAAAAATTCCAAGTCCGGTTCTGAGGGAATGAACGAATCCAAAAAATTGGACCAACCTACAAACAAAACGGGTACTGCATCACCCTCAGAGACCAAGACCAAAAGGAAGAAGAAGTCGTTGTCATCAAAGATTGCCTTGTTCTTTTCCAGAAGAAAAACTCATCCAACCACCAAGTGAACTTAATCTTTTACAGTAGTCCTACCTCCCATCATTTACAATTTTCCTCTTAATGGGGTGCAATTGTTTGATTTGACCGATGCTGCAAACATATATTTGTTTGATATACTCGTAGGCATGGTTGATAGGACTTGATTCTCACTCGACGGAGTTCTGGAATCTGTATGTGCAGTGGGTTCTTGGGGACACGTACTTTTCTATCAAGTTCTTGGTTGTAAAAGGATAATAAGATGATTTTTTTATTGTACATAGGCTGTAGCTATTCAATTATTCATTGTTTTTACCTTGTTTTATTATTTTGTTTATTTTTATTCTTCAATTGAATTTGGATTTTTTTTATAAAAATACTGTCTTTTTTTAAAGAAACTCTGCCATAAACCATGATTTTTGTCATGATTATATTAATTTTAGGCATGGGATCATGTCAAATGTCATAGACTTTTCATGCTTTGAGAAAATACTAGAGACGTAGTCATTTGTTCTTCGTGGATTGGAAGTTATATCATCAAAAGAGTAATTCAAATTATTATAAAATTAAATTATCTTTAAAAATATTTGTGTCCATTCTTATTTAAATATCATTCTTGTAAGCAGAATTCAATACGCATTAAGTAAATAAAAAGAAGAGCGAGTTTCACTCTTCTGTGGACTTATAAGCTTAAAATTCGTCTCTACTTTTGCTTCCCTATGTTTTGAGTTACAACAGATCAGATAGGCACATTCAGAACGTTCTCATTAACAAGAGGAACAGCCTAAAACAACATAGGAGACACAGGAGGAAGAAGTACAAAAAACATAAAAGAACTCATTTCAAAGATTCAATGCTTGCCTTCTTCCAACATGTTTACAGAAGCAGGTCTTTTTAACTCTTAGCTGCTTTTACTGGTGTCTGAGTTCTGCTTGCTACAATCTGCTCAAACAGATCTCTGATCTTCAAACCAACTATGGTTTGGAAGAGACCGGTGCCGTTGCTGCTGCCAGGGAATTCAGCATGCTTCAACATTTGTTGTGTAACTTCTCCATAGAACTTGGTTGACAGGTTGCTTAGATGGCTCTCAACGTATATTAGCTCATCTAGTCTGTCAAATTGCCCATCCATCTCTACAACTGATACCTATTGCATACGCATGACGAAAGCAAAAAACACACTCAAGTTATTGGGTGAAGTTAGTAGTACATATTCGAATACATCATCTTGCATACACGACTCTTGTGTTTAAAAGCTGGATACAGAGAATTAGTTAAAACACAATGGATCAGAATCTTCTTATACAACAGATTTCACAAGAAATGATTACATATTCCTAGAGTACCATGCTATCCATACTCTCCTCAAAAAAATTGTCCAAATATGCTTTTCTTTTCTTTTCTTTTCTTTTTTTTTTGAGGGGTGGGGCGGGTGGAGGGATGAGGGATGTAGAAAGAGAGATACTTAAATGTGAGAGGGACGGTGAATGTGAATTAAAAAGATTAAAAAATTATTATTTGATTTGAACTGTTCTTATTGTCATTTGTCAAGAGTATAGATAACACTAATAACAGGACACTTAGGGTGCTTGTTTTCACCTTTTGGGGCCAAAAGAGGACAATTGATTTGCCTAAAATTATATATTATACTAATACTTAAGGGATCTTCTTAGTAAAGAATCTGTAGAGGAGTTGGTAAACAGTAAATATACCTCATTTCCATAATAAGTTTCAGGGCCATAGAAAAATTTGATGCCAGGGTAAGAGCAAGTAAGCTTCCTTCCACAAGGAATCCAGGAAATGGTAGAGCCTTCATCAAACAAGTAAACTGGGCTGAAATGCTTAACCCCTTCTTTCTGTATCAATCTCACTCTCAATATCTTCCCTTCATTGTCGTCTGGTATTAGCTGTGTTGGTAACACTTCAATCACTGCATCTGCATATTGCTTCTGAGGATCTGAGTCCACCACCACCAACAGATCCAAGTTAACATTTCACTCCACACACTCACACAAATATTCTCATTTGGTAATTGGGTATCTTTATTTTTTCAAGTTTTGAATTGCATGGCAAATACACAGATGTAAGATTTGATTACCAATAAAAGCCTCGAAATCGGGTTTTCTTGCTTCAATGCTAGCTTTGATACTTTCAAGGCTGTGCCCACGTTCTGCCATGTCTCTCTGCAACAGTTGTTAGATCAAAATAAGCAAAGATTTAGAAAGCTTTAAGTTTTTGAGTTGATGAAAAATTTGTAATGTGTTCAAGTGCTTCTACCTGAATTTTCCAGGCGAATTTCACCTCATTGCTGATGTCCAAGTAGATGCTAAAGTCCAATAGTTCTCTCACCCGAGCATCAAACCTACAACGACCAACAAAATTTTGATGCCGAAACTTCAACCACCCTTTTTTTTTTGGCAAATATTTATTACATCCTGTAATATTAAATTCGAAAAAGTGATAAACAGATAAACACCTTTGTTTCAACACAAATCCATTGGATTTCAGGGATTCGATGTTTTTTGTGTTACATTATACGCAGAAACATAATTTGTTATTAAAATCATGCCAACAAGAAAAGGGTAACGAATGAAATCATATTCTCGCGGCCATAAATAAAAGTCTTCGAACATAACAGAATTTCGTGACAAAAATAAAGTATCAAATTTAAATTTTTCTTTTTTAGTTTCTTACCATTCTGCAAGAAAATTTTTTGTCCCCTAAAATTTAAAAAAATCGTAGAGCTTGACCCAAAAATTAACAAAGTATGAAACCTACTACTCAAAAAAAAAAAAAGGTTGTACGAGTTAAAAATGAGAGCACACGGAACCCAAATAATAATAATAATAATCCCAGACACACACACACACATTTTGGTCGTCGAATCATACAAGGCCGCTTATGTATAACACAAACTATGTTAGTATATTCTCTTTTGAAGAACCAAGAAATGTTGAAGGCGTGAAAGACTGTGCTATGCATAACCCTTGACTTCAGAACTCATGGGCATTTCGTCAATAGATACTTTACATATATCTTTACAAGGGTAAAAATGAACCCACGTATGAATGCTGGCCCACCATGATAAGGTTGTACAGTCGCTAGCAATTCCTCGTCCATACAAAATCAGTCGCATATAGATATTAGATAAGGTATCCCCCCTTACAGCCACCCGTATCTCTCACTCTATCTTAATCCTCACAGACAACCTCTGAAACAAATGTCATGAGCTCAAACGCCCTCACCACCACCTAGTTCTCAGATGATGAATGAAGAAAAACACCATCATCAGTTCCTTGAAAGATATGAACAAAAGGGTTGGTACTTACATTGGATGCAAGCCTTCGATGACCAAGATCTTGGGGGGTTTGATGAGCTCAGGTGGGTCCAAGAGACCAGTGACGTGGTTGTAAATGGGTTTATCCACAGCAATACCTTCCTTGAGCGCCTTAACTTGTTCATACATGAGATCAAAATCATTGGCTCTTGGGTCAAGAGCTGTGACTCCCTTCTCCTTCCTTCCTGTTCTGTCAAGTGAGTGATAATCATCCAAACATATCACAGTGGTTGTGTCACTTATCAGTGTGTTGGAATCTGGATTCCCTCCTTTTGGTGGTTCTGCTGCTCCTCCAAACACACTGGTAAGCCTCCTCATGAAAGTACTCTTGCCACAGCCTGAGTCTGCTGCTAGACCAATCACCACTGTCTGTGAGTTACCTGCAGCGCATGTTATCACCCATGGTCTGCTGCTGCTATTGCTTCTGTTTCTGCTTCTGCTTCTGTAGAAAAGAACCTGTTTTTGGTGAAAACCCAGGTGGGTTTTTGATGGTGTTGTGAAGGAGCAATTTGTGTTGAGAGATTGTGTTGTGTACACTGTGCAAGCTGCCATTTTTTCTCTCCCTCTCTCTCTGTGTCTCTCTTGGGAGGAAGAACTCGAGAGGAATATGAGAGAGAGGGAGTGAGTTTAAGTTGGTTTTTGTTTTGAGGATTAGTATGAAGAGTAAGGGATAACACTGCAAGGAGGAGGAGGAGTTTGGAACACAAATGAAATTAGAGGTCAAGGCTACTTGGCAGAAAATGAAATTGTGACTACCCCTTGTTTTGGACCGGTTTGGAGGTCATATCAAGCTTTCAGAAGGCTAGAGACGTCTTTTCATCATCAATTTTTTTTCACTTTGAAAAGAAAATTGGTGGGAGATATTTTTCATCATACATTCATTTCCAAAATTTTTTTAAAAAAAAAAAGGAATGGAAAAGGAATTGCTTATGAGGTTATGACGCGTGACAAAAACAGGAAAGGGAGTCAAGGAGAGGTTATGAGAAGCAATTTGGATATCAGGATTGCCACATGGCATGAAGATGATGGCTGTTTGAGGATGAGGGGTTAAGGGTGAGGAGTGAAGAAGATATAGAAGCCATCCAATTAGAGCTTGGACAGTAGCTTAGTACTTGCTTCTACAATTTCCTTGCACTCTTCTCATTCTTCACTGTTATTGTTAGTTGTAGTAGTAAGTAAGCATGTGAAACTCTTGCTCTTTCTGGAAGGCCAAATTCATGAAGGACCACACAAACTCTCAAACAGTCAAAAAAAGGGAATGAAATCACAAAACCGGAAGGCATTGGTGGGGTTAGAGTAAACCAACCAGCATATGCTTCCTAACCCCGCGAAATGTGAAGCCCAATTTCACCTAAATTTGATCTCTTTTTTTTTTTTTGGGGGGGGGGGGGTGGGGGTGTCATGACTCGTCTGCTCTCATACCAAATTTCTGATTTAAAATGATTGCTGCAAAAAGTGATAGTGTTTGTGAAACTACATATATATGACCAGAGATGGGAATGGTTTAAAATGAGGCAAGTGAGTTCGTAATATTCTGCTCGTTGTAACAAATGCCATTGACATTCGATGTGTGTGTGTTGATGTCAGAATTATGGAAGGTCATGCTAAAAAAGTGGGGAAGTTGATATCGAATTTAAGGATGATAAGGTGTAAGTACTTTAGCAGTGCCACGTAAACTTGGACATTCTTAGTATTCAAGCTCTTCACTTAAAGGAACAATAAAAGCTGGGGACGAGTTTAACTAACAGTTAAATTTAAATATATGATCTTAAGAGCATTTCAAAGCCAATTGCCCCCAAAAGAACAAAAATAAATAATTTTTTAAATTGATAAACCAGATATTTTGGCGAAAACTTGTGAGGATAGGTTGGCCGCTGAAAATAAAATAAAAAATAAAAACTAAAATAGTTTTTTATCCTTTGGTGAGTTGGAAGGGATCCATCCTGCCACCAGCCCACGAGTAGATACTGGGTCCCTAGTGGGTGGTTTCATGGCTTCACTAGGACTCAATCACTTTCACTTGTTCTACAAATAGTTTTAGTTCAATGATATTCATATCATGTTCTAACTTATAAAAGAAGTTAATTTTATATTGCAGTGCAGCAATGACACATAACAAACAAGCATTATAACCACGTTCCTAGTCACTAGACACGGGATCCAGGAACATAAAGGTGAGCAAAACTCAACAAACTTGATTACACCAAATGAATCTAATAAAAATGGAATAAAACCAATTATTAGTAAGACTCAATTTAGTTTTATAAATTTAAAAACCAAATGATTTGGTTCAAGTTTTGGTTTTTTTTTCTTTGGAAGCCTTAACAAAACTTGAACTATACCTCTTGTATTTTTATTATTAGTATTATATTATCAGTGTTTATTTTTTAAAATTTTAACTCCAATTAAAGTTCAATCTAAACTCAAAATACTTTAATGAATTATAATCTTAAGCCTTCATTTATCAAATTTGCTATTAAAGAGTCAAATGCATATGCTAGTATTACTTCAAGAATGATCTTTTAAATAATTTTAGATATATAATTTTTATTTAAAATGAGTTACTTTTAATTATGGAGATTAAAAAAATTCATAATGAAATTTAACTCGTGGTACATTATTATTTACAAATGCATACACTATGATCTTATTGATAATGAAATTTGAATATTTTTATTTTCAATATAATGTTCATTTCTCTTCATAAATAATAAAGTAAGTGTAACATCTTGAGTTTTAATTTTTTAATTAATTAAACCTAATTAGGGTAATTAAGTAAATTGAAGTGGTGTGTGGCTAGAGAAGTCTAATAATCATGTTTAATGCTATTTCAGCCCTAGTTGTGAATTTGGTATCGAGGCAGACCACCCGAGCATTGAAAGAAGAAGAAAAGGAAGAGTTAAAGTTGTTGTGCCATACGCCACAGCATGTAGATCATCCGCCGTAGCACAGTCATCTTTGAGTGAGGGAGGATCTCTCTGTGCCATGCACCGCAATGCATTGTGCGTCTACCGCGGTGCATGGCCATTTTAACTTTATCGGACGCGAAATGAGACAAAAAAAGAAAGGAAAGAAAAGAAAGAAAGAAGAGGTGTGCCAATACTCTACTAGGGTTTACTTGGAGACTATTTTGAGAGTATTTTGAAGACTATAAACGCCCAACGTAAGTATCATACTCATTAATCTCCCTATTTCTTCTACATTTATGAGTTTATGATTAGGGTTTGATAGTAAAAGTCGGATTTTAGTCCATATAGGTTATGGGTCCGAATTTATTAACTCAAATGGAGTTAATGAAGGTAGATTAGAGTATCTAAACTTAGGTATAATGGGTTTTGGTGTCTTGGATTATTGGGCACCACTAATACTCAAAAATCCCATTTATTATGGGTGGTTGGAAGTTTGTGATGCCATTAATGGGGATTTAATGGCTCATTAATGCTATTGGGGGCTAAAGGTAATTATTAAATCTAATGGTTAGGCCCCACCTCTTGTGAAGTGAAGATTGACCAATTTAGAAGTAGAGATTAAAGGTTCAAATGTTTGAGTTTGTTATGTTGATGGAATTCAACTTGGTTGATTGTAGTTTTGGCTCTTGGTCACCTATTGGAGTGAAAATTCAAACTTGGAAGCTAGTTGATTGAGGGATAAACTTTTGACCTTTTAAAGGTTTGAGGTAATTGAGGAAAAACTCTACTTTGAGTAGTTATATGTTAATTGATTGTCAATGGATTGTTAATTGATTGTTGAATGCGAATTGTAAATGTTACATGCATGAAATTGATTGTTAAAGTAAAATCTATTTTCTTAGTTTGAAAATGCAAAATGCTTATACTTTTGAAAAAAAATGAATATGATGATGTGTAAAGGTATTTGTGTGTTAATAATGAAATGAATTTTGAGAAATGATGAGAATACACACTTGGGTAGCGTAAGGTCGTGAGCCCAATGTGGTTGTGGTAAAAGTGAATATATAAAAGTTAAAAGTGAGAACAAGTGAGTATTGTTTATGGCATAATCAATGGCAAGAGTTTCGCTTAGAGATTTGGGAGTAGAGAAAATTCATATGATATTTAGGCTGCCCTTCAGTGCACGAGGGCTATAGCCTTATCCCACTATTTGTCAAGGGACTATCCTATAGTTTGTGGAGGAACTAGAACCTAGCTATCTCCACCGGTTCAATGAGGAGAATAGCCTAGGGTATGAGACACCCTAGGGATTCGAGAATGGGAAAAGCCGTGGTCCGAGAGTGAGTCCTGTGATCTTTAGTCAGGTCATATCTCATGATTGGTGAGCTTGGATAGTCCAATCACACGGACAGAGCCCTAATCAACGTTATAGCCCACGGTTTCGGTCTGAGAAAATAAGGAGGATATAAAGTTGGTTAATCATTGCCTAAGTAAATATATAACATGTCACACGTGCTAAGTGGTGGCAGGTCGCAAGAGTATAGGTCATGTCACATATCTGAAAATATGGTGACAATGCACCTAGTTATGTGAGTAAAGAAGCTATAAAGTGATAAATGATAAAAAGTGATATATGTGGACATGTTTTATAATTTTAATCTCCTTATGGATGTATTTGTTTTATAATTGATATATAACTGTATAAGGTAGGTTTAACCTTAGTTACTAAGTGGCTAAACTTACCCCTCTTATTTAATACTTTTCAGGTTCTAGCTCTGGTGTTGAGAGGGAGAAGACTAAAGAGGTAGGAAATTAGCATATCCCTACTGTATGTTTCTAGTTTAGCTTTAATTGTGTAATAGTATATGGCTTGCCAATTTTAGGATGCATATTACCTCACTTACACTATTTTGGTTGTTGAAAATGTTAGAATTGTATTTTGAACCCTTAGCCTTTGTGTATGTTGACACATATATGTTTATAAGGTCAAAATACTAGTACAAGTGTAGAAATGAAGATTTACGTATGTTTTGAATGATTTAAGTTAAATGCAATGACAAATTACCTCCCCCTTTGTTTTTGGTAAAATGGAATTGAGGAGTAAATTTTTGTTATATTGATGTTTCGATACTTGTGACGTGTTATACTAGTAGTCTTAGGTCCATTGGACATGATCCAGGTGTTAGAAAAAGCTTTTAACACTTGTTGAGGGTTTTGGACACTCATCTTGTGTAAAAGTATTGAAAAGGGGGTCAAATTATGTTTAGGTGTCTAACTTCCTAGTGTGACTTATTTTGAAAGTAAAACCCATAGCATTATATGTAAAAAGCTTTTCATAGACACCTAGATCACATCATTCGGACATCGAACGGAGAATCGAGGCGAGTCGGAAGTTTTCCCGATTCTGCTATCAAATGACAGCAGAACCAGTGAAATTTCGTGCAACACGTCGCGGTGTGTGGCACAGAGAGGCGCAACGTGCACGAGCCGCGGTGTATTACTCTGAATCACAGCATATGTTTTTTTTTCAACTATTTTTGATTTCTTTCACTCCTATGAGATATCACATGCTTTCGAAACTTATTTTGACTTTGATATAAAAGATTTTGATCAATTTTAACTTGTTTCTATTTAGAGCTTATTTTAAAAATTGAACCTTGATAATTAACTCGTTGAGCTAAGTCTCTGATTACCAGATGTTTTATTGGATAATTTTGTTTAATGGAGTGAGAACGTTACAATAAGAATGTAACTTGAAGTTGGAATATGAAAGAAAAAGGAAAGTAAAAAATTATGCCTAGCTTTAATGTATAATTTTTATGTTAAAAAAATATTAAAACTTGATTCATATATAAACCAACCCAAACCAACCAATCAAATGTTATTTTTCGTACATACCAATTGATTTAATTTGATTTATGTTTTATCTAAAACCAAACCAAATCACATCTTTGATCATCTGCACAAGATTATAAGCTAGGCCTATGAGTCAACTTATTTAAGTCCTTTTTTGTAGTTTGTGCTTTGAAAATTGAAATATTTTTATGTAAAAAAATTTCTAAACCCAATCTTCTAACTCCTAAAAAAAGACTAATTCACGTTCGACCTACTTATCTTAGCCCATTTTTATTTTAACCTTAAAAATTATATTTTATATATTAAATTTAAATTTTAAAATATCTTTGCACCTTCAAATTATGATTTGCATTACTTATTTTAAATTTTAAAACATTTTAATTTGTATTTTGAAATATAAATATAATATAATATACATGGGTCAAGCCGCCCAATTTTTATTTTAACCTTAAAAATTATATTTTATATATTTAAATTAAATTTAAATTTTAAAATATCTTTGCACCTTCAAATTGTGATTTGCATTACTTATTTTAAATTTTAAAACATTTTAATTTGTATTTTGAAATATAAATATAATATAATATATATGGGTCAAGCCGCCCATTTGGCGGTTCTACCATGACAATTAGTGGAACACCCCACTGCTTCAGAAATAAAGGAAAAGTGTCTGGGCAGATTGCATCATGGCCGGTACCGCGTGTTGAAAAATGAAAGTAGATTGAATCGTTGAGCCAGAAGAAAATTTGCTGCAATGAATACAGAATTTACGGATCCAATTTTAAAAACCTTGATCATGCATGACTGCAGAAAATTTTTCAATGAGGGGAACCAGGAGAGGGGCTTTCTCACGCGAAGAATACAAAACTTCCTACCATTTCATTACAAGCTAACCTCTACTGGAGTCACTAAAATACATACAGAACAACGAATATGTTAGATAAGGAGGGCATAGATGCATAAACGAGGAAAAATCATTAAAAGCGGGGGGGGGGGGTATTTTAAGCCACCTTGGAAAGTGGCTGACGGTATAGAAGCCATTGGATCAAAACCTGAGTAAAATCTCACTTGTTTCCCCTGAAATACATGTAAATTTTCTGCATGCAAGAAAGAAAACAATCATCACTCATGATCATTATAAACATATTGTACGCAAAAATACAGGCAGGTATAGCTCCTCAAATTGAAAGTGCACACAAGAATATCAGCTTAGTTTATCCCGATAGGCTGGCAACAAACAATCTCACTCTACATCAAATCTGTAATATTGTTTAGAACAAAAGGAAAATATGTAATTTTAGATAAAATCTTCAATCAATCTTCCAACCAGTTTTGCAAAGATGGGCAATCAAAGACTGACACAACTATTCGTTTATCTCGTTGATGAGTGAGAAGCAAAACAAGACCAAACCCTAAGCCTTAAATGCAAACATTCTTTCCCTCACCTGAAGCACCCACAAGCTTAGAAGAGCCTCCAAGCAAAACAAGGCAAATCCAACCAAATAGAAAATCTGCAACAATACCAAGAATGTAGGATAAGAACAGGCAAAAGGTGACCGCAACTGATTATTCCTGTGATGTAAAAGTTTAAAACGAATATTCCAACGACTGCAATTTAAATTTTTTTCCCCAGCAACTTCAACTGGTCCTGTCACGTTTCACACAGCATTTCAATATCTTATGATTTTTTAAGGGCATCCAAATTATTCTTGAGCAACAAGGTCTTGTTGCGACATCAACCATACAGGCTACAGCACTGATACCGTACGGAAGTAAGGCCCCAATCGCATCACTCAGTCTAGCACCATAATTGTCCAGTCTTCACATGTTTGCCGAACCTCATCATTAACATCAACTAATCCTTGACACTCATTTTCATTTGTTCATGTGTCAGATCATTCTTCCATGGGAAAAAGGATAGACAAACCTGAGAAGGCTAACAGCATTCATAGCTCAATCCATCTAAAACACTAAATAGGTAAATATATGATAAGTAGGTTTGAGAGATATTTCCATAAGTAAATCTGTTAATGCATGTGTCACAATAAAATATTTCCAAGCGTTAGATGCTCATATAAGTCATTAACATTAAAAACAGTGATAACTGACAAATCTTCGTACATTTATTGGAGATAACTATGCCTAAGAGAATAAATGCTAATATCTAATATGTACATATCTGATATAACTTACCCCAACAAACACATGGTCTGAGAAGACATCAATTGCCGCAAGAATGCCCCTGAAATCGTACCATTATGATAATTAGCTATATTAACAGGAAAGAAATATATACTCCAGGCATCATAAGTTACTCTCTCTGATCCTAAATATAGAAGCTAGTTGGGAGGTTTGTTATTAAGACCGCAATATCTTATGTTCCCCTCATTTATTTTTTTCCCAAACTACCCCTATAGTTAGATCCTTGTATTACAAAGTTGAATGGCCATCATATTGAGCTTGTAACTCATTCAATTTGGGTATTTTAGGAAATCAGCATACACTTCTTTCTTTAAAAATAACTAACTTACCTAATTTTCTTAAACTATGGGAATTAGTTAAGTAGCTCCTAAAAATATATTAAATTAATCACAATCATGGTTTGACCACAATCCAACACTTAACGCTTGCACCAATGACTTGCCTAATTCAATGGCCAGTTTGATTTTTCAATCCCTGTTTTTACAACAATATAACACATTTTGGAACTGCAGCAGTCCCTGACCAAAATGTTAAGAAATAGATAGATAAATAAATAAAACCGCCATTATAATTTTGATACATCTGCATTCCAGCACTATAATTTCACCTTATAGCACTTTCATACGTTCCTTAGCTTAGTAAAAATGATGATTCTCACACAGTCATACTGTCAGATACGTTCATTCAAGCTAACTTACAAAATATCAATCGTCATGGTAAAAACTATCAATTGACAGTTATGAACCAGCACATCATGGCCTTATCAAAACATAATTGTATAATATACTCAACGCAAGACACAGGCAAAGATTAACAACTTGAAACATGGAGGTAGTATTTTCAAACTTACGTCAATGACTTTCCATGAAAGACAATTGGAGGTGCAATAGCAGCAATGACACAAAAGGCAATATGCAGCTGCATCATCCCAAAGCAATCAACAGAAGGACTAGCAAATCACTTATGCATGAGACTACCAACATTATGTGATAGATTAACATACCAAGTAAAACAGGAAAAACCAACCAAACTTTAGTGCACTATCTGTCCTGCATATCATAAACAAACAACCATAAACAAAAACAATAATTGTGCACAATCCAATGCTTGCTAAGCCTTCTTTTTACTAAATAAACAGAAACTTATGCCCATTCTCTTTCATGTTTGCTTATTTTTCTCCTTTTTTACCCATTTAACCCTTTTAATTACAAGGATAAGACATATGATGTCAGCATGTTCAAACTTCAATCTCTCCCTCCACTGATGCTAAAGAAGGAAGAACAATTATACCTGTCAGAAAACTACTCAATTAAATCGTCTGCAAATAGGATGACAATATTTTAGTAAAGAAAACGAGGCTATACTCCAGTTTACCTCATAGCACGGTAAAGGGGCCTGTACCAAAGCACGTATGAAAGGGGTACTCCAAGTAAAGCATAAATTACAGCAAGGAAAAAAATTTTAACACCTGCAAATTTAAACTTCAAACATTACGTCCAAAATTACATCACAAACCAGATACCTAATAACTGTAGATATAAGCTTACCACCGCCTCTAATCCAACAGATAATCACAGCAACTACATTAAAAACCAGACAGAGAACAATCCCTGCAAATATTTTCATAAAACATAATAGAAATCAGAATTACATTCTAAAATCAAAAATTGTAAAGGAAAGTTCTATAATTTAACCAAGTACAAAGAAGCAACTGTCGTGACTCATGAGAGATAAGAAGTATGAAGAAGTTCCATAAGGGTTACAGATGGAAACCAAAGAAACACTACAGAGAAATAAAAGAAATGGCAGAATTTATAGAATTCAAATTCAAATAGCAAAAACAGAGACAGTCTACCAGATAATGGAAGAATTGCATTTGCAGATAAAACAAGAAAATATGCAGAACCATGTTACAACCATGTTAAAACTGACGAACAATTTCAACTCCCCATACCTAACCAACTTGCAAATGCCAAATATTGCAGCCTCTGGGCATGAACAGGTATCTCGTTGGCTATATCATGGTGAATGACTGGGAAAAATGGAGGCCAGTTCTTATCTTCAACAACAACCCCAGCTGATGAGTACAAAAAAGTAAGTTATTGACTCAGCATAAATTTAGAAGCGTGACAAGACAGCCAACAAAAAGGATTGCATGTCATAAACTCAAGCCTTAGTGCTTACATTTGGCAATTGCATCTTCCCTTCTTTTGATTTCCTGCATATACATTTTGAAAGTCATGTGACACTCCAAAGCAAGGATTCAGTACATTTGTGTAGGCCATAACATAAGCAAGAACTTAAACTTGTGGGCAGTTAAGATCATGGCAGCACATAGTACATTAATGATGGCAACAAAATACTAATATAAGCAATATAAATTGTGACTTTGAAAAACTGTGATACTAGCCTGCTCTCTCCTTTTTAGATCTGCTTCCCAAGTTGCAAGCTCTTGTTCCCTTTTCTTAGAGACCTATGCAAACACCACAGAAAAAATTGAGCCCCTCCAGAGAAGCCTAAACTTAAGGAACGACTCTGCATTTGCAATATAATTACACTAGTATTCTCTAATGGAATATCCACTGTAGCATCATGTCGTTGACCAAAGCCAAGTGGCTCAGATGCCGCTGGAGGAACACGTAACTTAGATCCAGGGGCACCAACACCATTCTGCAACATTTTCTCCAACAAAAAGATTTTATAAGAATCAAGTCAAGACTTAAATGAAATGGAACAAAACATTCAATACAGAATAGGATGATCACTAGGTGCTCTGTACCAATGACAGCAACCCCCCACCCCCAAAAAAGAAAAGAAACTTTTTTCCCATTAAAAGGAATATTATAGCAATTTTTCTACCCTAACTGGCAAGAGGTTTTGTCAAATTTTTTATTATTGGCAAATCAACGTATATATATTAAAAAAAACATGATTTATGCTATGGCTCATTCAATGAAAAACATATTGTGCATCTGTTCAATTCTTGATATCTTCCATGATTTTTTTTTTTGGATTCAGATGAATTTTTTTTTCTGAATTAATAAAGTCAAAAATTATACGTCAGTGGTCTCCAAAAGTATTTAACAAAAATTACATTATATTTTCTACTAAAAAATAAAATTACATCATATTTCTGTTTCTAGTGGCAGCACCTCCATCATTACATACTACAATTTTTGAGATCATTGTCAATGTTCATTCCTAACACATTATTTAGCCGCAATTCACCTTAAAAATAGTACCAACAGTTAACTACCAGCTCACCAAGATTTTAAAAAGTAAAATATGTCCAGTTTTGCTTTTCCATTTTCACTTCCCCATAATTCATATCCTCTATTTTCCACCTTACTGCTTTATACTTTATCTAAAACTTATTTGGATGAGACAAGTTAGATTGCCTTAGGTTGAATAATTGAAGGTCAAATTTTCTACAATTTTCACTTCCTCCGAAAAGTGCATTTACAAACAGTACAATTGTCTAAATAATTTTAATCAAGGAAGATTTTAAATTAGGTTTATGAATCCCAATGTAACACATTAAAATCTTGACAGCCACAGATGGCTTACAAATCTAAACCTCATAAACTAGTTCCCTTCCCTTTCCTTTGCAGCATGCAACCAAACAACTCAGTACCCGTCCATTTCCAAATTAACAGTTCAAAAAAATGTTCAGAATACCAGCATCCCTTCCGTACAATTTATAACAGATCCAACATTGATTTCTCTGAAATTTCTAGGAGATAGAATCAATAAAGTAAATCTAAAGAAGAACCACCACTATCTGCCCCGTGCAATGCTCAGCTGCATGTGGAGCTGACATAACCGTGAGATCACTTCAATCATTATAATGGATTCAAAAGATTAAAAAAAGAAAACAAAAGATTAAGAAAACCCTTAATCAATTTTTCTGATATTCCAAATAAAAAAATATTATTCAAAAGATTTAAAAAAGCATAGCTTATCCTGCTAAACAAAACATCCTCAATCAATTTTTCTGATATTAGAAATAAGAAATATTATATTGTCGTACAAGCTGCCATGTTCTCGGATTCTCCAACAACCGAAAAGGCTGGGGTGTCAATCATTAACCATTAACACAGTCGCTGTGACTGAACAACGAAGAGTCAGTTTGCGCCTTGTTCCAATAGGTGCCTTCGCTCGGCTAAGCATCTCAGACACACCAGAATTGAGATCGTTAACCACATTTTTCGAGATGCGAAAGTTCCAAAACAACCAAACTAAGTTTTTCTCATATGAACTTCGCCGACTCTTGTTATCTCAAGTGTCCAGATGAATACTCTTTCTGAAGTACAGCCCCATCCGAAGGGGAAAACGTGGAACCGTGAGCTCATAAACTCATAATAGGGTTTCCAGATCCAGATCAAAGTATATATCACTCTAATCACCCTCAATAACAAATTAAAACAATTTTAAAGGAATCACTCAAATCTGAGCACTTGCGAAGATCCAACAACCACAACTCAAGCATTTCATGAACGCATTACGCACTCCAACAATTTTAAAAGAGTTTCAAATTCGAAATAGGCCGGATCTAGAAATTACTATAAATAAGTATCCGTCAGAAGTTGAGCGATAGAGAGAGAGGCGATGAAGATTACCGAGAAGGGATTGACTTCTTCTTCGTCAAATGGGTTGGGATCGTGGGAGCGCATGGCTAGATCCCCAAATTTAGTAGAAGAGAGAGATAGATCACCGACCCGAGAACAACGGGCAACAGGGCAGTGAAAGAGTGAGACTGTGGGCTGAGTGGCACTTTCTCACACATCTACCTGTTTTCCGGCTTGTAGGCGACGCGGGATTTCACTATACAACGTGAATCTGAAATTGAATTTTACGTTTTGCCCTTCAATTTGCTAACATTTACGCATCCTACCATGCCCCCCTTCTCCGTGTCACCTTGTCCACCCTGTTTACCATGGATCCGGATCCTGTGCGGTGGTTCTTGTTTGGGAAGAGGGCAATCATGCCTTGAATCATCATCGTTTGGTGTGATCTTTAAATGTGAGAATTATGGCCGGGCGATCCTCAAGATTTCAAGCTTTAAAACTTAATTATTTAAAATTTAATTTAATTTTAATGTCCAGTCTTTTATTCAAGTCTGAGCTCTTAAGCTCTTTTTTTCAAAAAAAATTAATATTTTAATTTAAATAAAATATTTTAAAACTTAACATAAAATTCCATAAAGGTTTTAAATTTTAAATTTAAAATGAAGATTAAAATTTTTATCAATGTAAATCTAAATCCTCCTCCTCATCATCTAAAAATAAAATATTATATCATTTAGATGTAGATCTATTTGTTAAAGATAGAGGTGAAGATTCAATATCAATTATCTCCGCAACTTTTTGTTTATTACCTACAATAAATATTAACTAAATTATGTCATTATCAATTAAATGTGTGTGTGTGTAAAATAACCAAGTTTATCAGGTTTGAAGGGCCACCTAAGCCCTATTTCGCTAGACTTATCAAGGCCAAGCCTTCAAGTTCAATTATTTTAAAAAAAAAATTAATTTTTAAAACTCAAACCTTATTTAAATAGGGCTTTTAGGCTCGACCTTTTAGGCTTAACCCTTATTTCCTACTCTAGTGATTTTGGCCTTCCATTTTCTTTTAAATAATATCTGCCATTGATTTTAAATTATTTTTAAAATATTTAAAATAAAAATTTTAAAAAATTTAATATTAAATTTGAATTGAATTTTATACTTATTAGAGGAAGAACATGGTAGCATTCATCACCCTTGATGAGATTTAGATAGTCCAGATTTAAGCTTTTAATTTTTATTTTATATTTATTAAAATAAAAAATATGTAAAAAAAATATAGATATGTTTAGTAAATTTATTTTATTAGAAATCTAGCCATTATAGATTTATCTAAATGACTCAATTTAATATTATTTTTTAATAATTTTTATAAATTAATTTTTTCAGTTATACTATGAACAGTACAAATATAATTTAAAAAGTTTAATTTAATACTAAAATTTTTATAATTTTTACAAATTAATTATCTAAATATCTGTGGATAATCTATATTTAATATTAATTTTTTGTAATTTTTATATAATTTTATTTGATAAATATAAATCAAAAATATTTTAAAAACAAATTATAATCAACAGCAAAGATCATTTAAAATAAAATAAAGGATCAGGATCACCCTATGTGGGTAATGAGCACCAACAATAACCAATCTTGATGAGCATTAAGTGCAGATTCATCGTGCATTTTATCTAATAAATCAAAAGAGAGAAAGAGATGTATAAAGAGACTTCTCATTTGCAAAACAAATAGTCATTTTATCAAGATTTAAAATTTTTTATTTATATTTATATTCATTAAAATAAAAATTAATGAAAATTAGTAAATTACCAAATTTTCTAGTAAATATGTTAATTACCCATTTGAAAGTATAGATTTAAATTGAATAGTCAAATTGAACATTATTTTTTACTTTTTTTTTTTACAAATTGGCTGTTTATATATACTTTTGATTGTTTAAATATAATATTAATTTTTAATAACTTTTATTTGATAAATAGTTAAATACAATATGAAAAAATTACCCTAGCACTTTCTAAAAATATATGTTTTTAGAAAAATTAAAATTTAAAAATTTTAAATTTAAACCATTAATAGTAAATCTAGATAATTAATTTATAAAATTATTAAAATTTTAATATTAAATTTGAACCATTTAAATTAAATATAAATTATCTAGATGGGTGTTAAATCAGCTTTATTGAAAATATAAAATATGATTGTGTATTTTGCAAATGAGAAATCTTCTCACACATCTCTCTCTTCTAAACCATTAAATAAAATGCATGGTCATGATAGAGTCGATAATTTAAACCAAACTCGATGTGCTAGCCCAAACTCACCTAAAAAAATTTAGAATAGTGCTTTAAAAAATTATAATTTTTTTATGTTCAGGCTTATTCGGCCGAATAGGTTCGAAGAAATTCGGGCCAAGCCTAATCCCTGATTGAGCTTGGCCAAAATACCTGAATAAAAAAGTTTATTTTTTAAAAATATAAAATATAATAAATATTAATTAATTTTTTAAGTTTTAGGTCATTTTATGCTAAAATATCATATATTTGAGTCATATACATCGTTTAAGTATCAAAAATATATATTATTTATTTTTTATAAAATAAAATAATTAATTTTAAAGTTAAAAAATTAATTAAAAATAATTTTAAAATTAAAATTTGGGTATTCAAGCCACCTAAAGGAATTCAAGCCATGTTTAGCTATTCAGGCTTTCTAGAGAATCAAGCCTGTTCAAGTTTAGCTTATTTGGGCTGAGCTTGAATAGACCCAACCCACTCAAATTTTCAACTCTAGTTATAGTTGCCCACTTCTTAGCCACTACACAAAATTTGGATCTTTTTTATTATCAACTTGGCACTTCAAGTATTGATATTTTTAAATTATAATGCCAATCTTTGACTTTTTCAACACTTTCACTTTCAAATTGATCTAGGTAGCATTTGAATTTAAATTTAAAATTTAAAATTTATATATTCAAAATTATTTGTTTAAATAGTTTTAAAAAATTTCAAACTAAAAGAGATATGAGTTGAAATTTAAAATAAAAATAAAAAATTAAAAGTAACAAATATACCTATATTTTTTAATTAATAAAAAAAGATATTGATATATTAAAAAAGATAAAAACATCATAGAAGCATCAATAAAAAAAATGAAATGAAAGGTTTGAAGTGATTAAAATTTTAAATAACTAAAATATACAAAAAATTTAAAATTATAAAATAATTATAACAAGAAAAGGACTTTATAAATGTTTGTGCATTTAAATGAGGTATTTGGTCTAAATTCAAATTCTCATTATTCTAATCACACAACTAATGTATTGAGGATATTGATAATTTGGCGCGCACACACATATATCTGGTTAAATGAAAAGAAATTAATCTCAAAATGAATTTAACTCTTATTAATCTAGTTTCATACGTTCCATTTTGTTCTTTTTTAAAAGAAAATTGAGTTTTTTCTAATTAAGTGATTACACTTTTCATTAACATACACGGTTATTATTAATATTTTGTTATTTATATTACTAGATTTTAACTGTATGGCCTTCTCTTTGAATAATATTGATAATTGAAATAAATTTAAGAAATTAAATTAATTCAATTAGACAGTCATGACTTCCTCCACTAATATCGACACGGCTTACTGTTGGTGTACCAGTATTCACCATATTTCATAGTCACATTTAGAAATTTTTGGACTCGTACAGTAACGCGTTACCCTTCCTTTCCTACCAACTCGGCCGTTATATTCCTTGTAGCTTTGGTCATAAAGTCTAGAAGGAGCACTCATTCTTTACTGACCAGCCTTGTTTTCAGCGTTCAGATACGTTGCTGTCTGCTGATAAAGTCATGCATTGAATTTCTTCAAGCGGTTTCAGTTTTAGGAAAATAAAAACTTCCACACTGACCCCAAAAAAAAAAAATTGATTTAAATATCTCTTAAAAAATTGAATCATTAATTTCTACCAGTATTTGTTGGTAAAAAAAAAAAAAGAAAATCTACCAGCACCAACGCAAAGCGGATTCTTGTTCGCGCACGATTTACTGTTCATGATACTTCATTACTTCATAGTCGTGCTTCAAATTTTAGGACTCGTACCGTAACGCGTTGCCCTTCCTTTCCTCCTAACACTTCCACTATGCCTATATTCCTCGTTGCTTTGGTCAACATAAAGTCTAGAAGGAGCACTCTATTCTTTATTGACCAGGCTTGTTATTACTTTTCAGCGCTTAGACATACTGCTGACAAAGTCATCCATTGAATTTGAATTTATTTTTTTATTGTTATCCAAGTATTCACAATCATAAAACTAATTTTCGAGGAATCTATAAATGTTATTTAAGGTGTTGTTCTTTTCTAAAAAATAATGTACACCTTTAAAAATTAAATTTTAAAATAATGCTTAAGAAGTGTCATTGAATTTGAATTTCTTCAGGCGGTTCAGTTTTAGGAAAATTTAAACTTTCAGACTGAATGCAAAAAAAAAAAAATCATGATTTAAATATCTCTTGAGAAAATTTAATTATTATTCTCCCTTATGATCAAGTCACACCTTACTTAATGTCTAAGATTGACTATCTTTATTATATTATTGGTTTTTATTCTTTTCAGCTTTTGGTAATTTTATTTATTTTAGAAGAATTACAAACAAGGACCAACAACGGAATTAAATTAATTGTTGGCAACAAAAGCTAAATTAAATTAATTATTCACAGGGACTTCCAATTTCTAAGTTACTGCTAAAAAATTTAGTTTTTCTTGTGGAAAAATTTGTGTTGATCAAAATGCCTTTCAACTTTTTTCCTAAACTTCTAAAATTATTCTAATTTCTAACATTTAATTTTAGGATGTTCATTCAATTCAACAATTTATAATATTCATTTTTTCAGAAAAATTATTGTCACGCACAGAAAATTTAGAAGTGTCACTTCCAAATTTGACCTTCAATCTCAATTTCAGCATGTCTCATTAACTCATCAAGTTATATCTGGTTGCCAAAAAAAAAAAATACCAACTTATATCTGATTTTTAAAAAAATTAATATTCACTCAAAGAAAATTTAAAAGTGTCATTCCCAAATTTAGCATTCAATTTCAAGATAATCATTACTTCAAACACTTACAAAATTAATAGTTACACAAAGAAAATCTGTAAGCATCACTCCCAAATTTAGTACTTAATTTCAAGATATCTCAATTTTAGGGAAAATCCCTAAAATTATTAGAAGTAATTCAAGTAATCAAAGTTCCTTATAAATAATTTTATCATTTATTTCTATTTGTAACTCTTCTTTCTACCTCCAAGCCTATCTTTTAGTGTTTATTGTAAATAGGTCCGAAAGTGGTGCTAATTCTCTCCATTCTTTATTTAATTTTTTTATGCTCGTACCATTATACGTTACCCTTCCTACCAACTATCTCGTCTACTAGCATTCATTGTAGCTTTGGTCAACAAAAGTTTAGGACGAGGGAACATTACTTCATTTTATATTAGTAACTCTGTATCTATTTATAAGAAATTCTAGCATTTCTTAACACTATATCTTGTTTAAAGTATTAATTTTTTTTCATCTAATATTATTATCCCTAACAAACCATAAAATTTTTACGAAAAATTACATAAGGTCTCATGAAGTAAACTTATTTACAAATAAATTTTACAAAATTTAAAAACTACAATAAGGTCCATTAAAACTTGAGTGTAATTTAAAATTAGGATGCAAAAAAAAAATGATGCCCTATTAAAAATATATTATATTAATCAAATAATTTATAATTATTTTGTTGATAATTTATAACTATCATTTTAACTTTTTATAACTCTAATTTCATATATCTAATAGTTAAATTGATCATATATTACAAATTTGATACAAATTATATGCAACTAATTCATCAATAATTTACAACTATCATTTCAATATTTTATAACAATAACTTTAGATATTTAATAGTTACACCAATCACACGTTGCCAACAAAATTTAACACTAATTGTTCATAACTAACACATTAGTAATTTACAACTCACACTTCAATATTTTACAACCGTAACTTTAATATTTTTAATAGAGAAAGTGTTGTCTTTATACCCAAATTCAAATTACACTATTTCTAAATTTTACAGGATTTGTTTGTAAATAAGTTTGCTCTATGCAACTTATATATAATTTTTTCATTTTTTAAACTAATTAAATCCTATCTAATAACTTGTATTGAGGGTAATTTTCAAATTATACAAAAAATAGCTGATTTTATTGATCTATATGAAGTTGTTATTAGCTTCTTTTATATATATATATATATATATATATAAAAGATGGGAGGTAGGCAGTGTTTTGTGTGTGTGTGTGTGGGTAATGTACACAATACCAATATACCACATTGACACTTGACACTTTCAAAAAATTGTTTTTTTTTAAATTAATAGACTTCCAATTATATTAGTGCAAGAGTTAAGATTTGAACTCTTCACCAATTGTTAAATTGATGAGAATTATCATATTTTTTTATTAGGTGTCATGATTTTTTAAAATAAAATTCTCTAATTATGAATAAGATAAAGAAACTGTGGTGTTCAAAAATGAGACGGCAAGATTACCTGTCAGATGTAGCCCTTGGCTCAACACATGTTTCATAACCCTGGACGCCATTATTGAACAGATTCAACTTAGAGCCTTCAGGAAATAATGAAGAAACCACCTGTAATTAGCCTAGAAATTAATAGGTTTCTTATCTAAGAGCAGCAATGATTATTAGTTAGTTGCATCGAACTCAAATTAGATGCAACATTCATGTCTAATAATAAAGTCAACCAATGAACGTGGTTTTTTGAGACATGATTGAACACAAATGGGATATATAATTTTATTATGATGAATTTATAATTTATATTTTAAATTTTAATAAAAAATAAATTTATTTATTTTTTAATTATGATATAATTTAGAAAATAAATTATATAATTACTACAATGAAATTGTAAAATTAAAAATTAAATTTAAAAATTTTTAAAATTTCACACTTGAAACTAAGCTTAAATTAATTTTCTGTATTAGGGCTTAATTTGCCATTCTCCCTATATCTTTTTCAATTTCAGAAAACTCGAGAGCTTCTTTATCCTTGTATTTTCCCGGAAAATTAATGGAAGCATCATGTTTGAGACCGAGGATGTTGTTAACGTCGTGAACCGTGAGTTCCAAGCAAACGACTTTTATAATCAGAACAAACAAAATAGGGGCTAAGCTATTTGATTATATATGAGCTGTGAGCGCCCTCCATGGATAAGAACTCGCATAATCCTCCTTGAAACAAAACTGAAGAAACTATACAAGCACATCATCAAAGGTAGAATCGAATCCATCGAAAAAACCTAACCCACAAATCTCCATTTCCTTAATTCTCACACCACCCCTATCCAAATCTGAAGCTGGAAAGAAATGGCAGAGAGTCCGGTGTTGTTCTTACTGGACAAGCTAACATCTTTGCTGCAAGAAGAGGTGCAACTGCTTAAGGGTGTTCGCACAGAGGTTCAGTTCATCAAAGATGAACTTGAGCGCCTCAAGGCCATCTTAAGGATGGCTGATGCGTTGGAGGACAAAGACCCTGAACTCAAAGTTTGGGTGAAGCAAGTCAGAGATGTAGCTCACGACATGGAAGACGCCATTGACGAGTTCACCATTCGCCTTGTGAATCACCGTGGCCATGGCCACGATTCTGCTCTCAGAAGGTTTGCTTCATCCATCCAAGCTCTCAGAGCTCGGCACCGGATTGCTTCTAACTTACAAGAGATCAAAGCCAGAGTGGAAAACATCTCAAAGGGTCGTCGCAGCATAACTGAGGCCGGGTCAAGCTCCAGTCATTTTCACAAGTCGAGGCTTGATAGTCAAGGAGATGCACTTCTGCTCGAGGAAGCTGATCTTGTGGGTATTGAGAAGCCAAAGAAGCAGCTGATTGACTTGCTTTTCCAGGAGGAGCAAGGAAAGGTGGTGATACCTATCTATGGAATGGGTGGGCTGGGGAAAACCACGGTGGCAAAGCAGGTCTATGATGACCCAAAATTGAAGAAGCGTTTCAAGATGCATGCTTGGGTCACAGTTTCCCAATCTTTCAAGATCAAGGAGCTCCTAAGAGACCTGGTTCAACAGCTTTATAAAGTTATAGGGAAACCAGCTCCTGCAGAAGTTGGCACAATGAAAAGTGACAATCTGAAGGAGGTGGTCAAGAGTCTGCTTCAACAAAGCAGGTATCTCATCGTCCTGGATGACATATGGCGGGTAAATGCTTGGGATGCTATCAAACTTGCTTTGCCTAACAACAACTATGGCAGTAGAATAATGCTCACCACAAGAAACAGAGAAGTAGCACTTTCTTGCTGCACTGAGTTGCAAGGCAAGACCTATAACCTGGAATTCTTACCTGAGCATGAAGCATGGTCTCTTTTCTGCAAGAAAACATTTCAGGGGAATGCATGTCCTCCACATTTGGAGGAGTCTTGCAAGACTATCTTGAAAAGATGTGGGGGATTGCCGCTAGCAATTGTGGCAATCAGTGGTGCTTTGGCCACAAAAGACAAGACCAACATAGAAGAATGGCTGGTTGTTAGCAGAAGTATTGCATCTGAAATTGAAAGCAGTGACAGAATGGAGGATATGAACAAAGTGCTTTCCCTAAGTTTCAACGAATTGCCTTACTATCTTAAATCCTGTTTGTTGTACCTGATCATCTTTCCAGAATTTTATGCCATTGAGCATATGAGGTTGATTCGCTTGTGGATAGCTGAAGGGTTTGTCACTGGAGAAGAAGGAAGGACGCTGGAAGAAGTTGCAGAGAGTTACCTGAAGGAGCTCTTGAACAGGAGCCTGATTCAAGTGGTAGAGAAAGGCAGTGATGGCAGGATGAAGACTTGTCGTGTTCACGACTTTCTACGGGACATCATCAATTTGAAGTCAAAAGATCAAAACTTTGCAACATTGGCCACCGACCAGGACATGATATGGCCAGAAAGAGTTCGTCGCCTGTCAGTAATGAATAGTTTACAGAACGTACAGCAAAACAGAACCTCATTCCAATTGCGTTCTCTGCTATTATTTTCTTTAGCAGATTCACATGATGATATCTCCATATCTTCACTATTCTCAAATGGTTGTAGGCTGCTCAAGGTACTAGATTTGCAAGATGCACCTTTGGAATCGTTTCCTGCTGAGATTGTCAACCTTTACCACCTGAAGTATCTAAGCCTGAAGAATACCAAGGTGAAAAGCATTCCAGCTTCCATTAAGAAGCTTCAAAACCTGGAAACATTAGATCTGAAACACTCCCATGTAACTGAATTGCCAGCTGAAATCCTGGAGCTGCATCGACTGCGCCACCTCCTGGTGTATCGTTATGAGATTGAATCCTATGCTCACTTCTTCTCAAGGAATGGTTTCAAGCTGCCAGGCCCAATAGGATGTATGCAATCTCTGCAAAAGCTTTGTTTCATAGAGGCAGACCAAGGAAGTCAAGACTTGATGGTTGAATTAGGCAAGCTGACTCAACTGAGGAGGCTGGGCATTAGAAAGCTGAAGAAAGAAGATGGGGCTGCTTTGTGCTCATCCATTCAGAAGATGACCAATCTCAGGTCTCTATCCATAACTGCAATCGAAGAAGATGAGATCATTGACATTCAGAACATTGTCAAGCCTCCTCCATACCTGAGACAATTGTACTTATGTGGACGTCTAGGGAAGTTACCTGAATGGATACCCTCTCTCCACAATCTGGTCAGAGTATACTTGAAATGGAGCAGGTTAGAGGAGGATCCTCTGGTGTATCTTCAAGATTTGCCCAATCTAATTCATCTCGAGTTTTTACAGGTTTTTGTTGGAGAGACATTGCATTTCAAGGCAGAGAAATTTCCAAGTTTGAAGCTTTTAGGCCTTGATGATTTAGATGGACTGAAATCCGTGATAGTGGAGGAAGGAGCAATGCCTAATCTGAAAAGATTAATTATCCAGCGATGTGGATCACTGAAGCAGGTACCTTCAGGCATAGAACATTTGAGTAAGCTAAAAGCAATTGACTTCTTTGATATGCCTGATGAATTGATCAATGCCCTGAGTCCAAATGGAGGTAAAGATAATTGGAGAGTAGCACACGTACCAGCGGTTTATTCGAACTACTGGAAATCTGGTACCTGGGATGTTTACTCATTGGACACTCTTGGAGAGAGAGACAGTTCTTCAAGTAATGTTGCAATGAAAAGTCATGAGATTCGTCCACTTTGGAAGGTTTAACTTCTTATTTGAAGATTTTCTTTATGGGAATGATTACAGGGGTTTTCATGGCCTATAAACCAAGGAGCGTAACTTGGTTCTTGGTCAATGAACCATGATGTATGAAATGTTCGACATTTATGTCGCAACACTTTCATGATTCATTACATTTTGAAACACTAATAAACAACAACGTCAAGCTGGTAGCTGATTTTCATGTGATTCAGAACCAGAGGTAACTGAATTTACCTGCCATATGATGTATAAATCAGTATATAAAGAACTGAAAAAAACACACAATTGAATGTCCTTTGGAATTAGTTATAAGCCATGATATTAGGAAGCATCAAATCAATTTGTGCAAGTTAGATTCAACTAATACAGCTTCACCAACTCTACTCTAGCTAAATTTCAGGAGATCAATTCTACCTGAATATCATGTGCCTTGAGAACAAGTGAATAAAAAATCTTGGACAGAAACTAATTCAGTTGTTGCTTATCTGCTTTTCTTTTTTTCTTTAGTTTTTTTTTTCTATAACAGTATCTGCTTTTTCTTTTTAAACTTGTAAATTGCAGTCTGAGCTTGCAGATGACTAAAATGCCTTGGTTATTGTTATTCTAACTGGAGGAAATTCATCACACCATTGCATTTTCTCCTTCTGAACATGTTAATTGATGCAGTAGTTCAATCTTTTGTTGGTCAACTTAATGATATACCTTGGCTCTTTGCCCTACTAACAATGAGAAAATGTTAAAGAACTATCATTCAAAATTTCAGAATTTTGTTTCCAGCGTATCTAGATTTTGTGTTACTTGAGGCTACTTTTTTTTATTGGCCATTCATTTAATACTTCCTTAAACAACAGATGACAAATTACATCAACAAAGTAATAAAAAGTCAAATGCACAAAACTAATATAAGAACTAAACACCATAGAACAAAACTAAAACCAGAAAATATAACCAACATAACATGTGAACCTGAGAAAGCATTATAATATGCATGGCAGAACAGGAAAAAGCTAGACAATTCTATTCCATTTTCTTTGGTGCTGCAATCATGAACTTGGTGCTCTGTATGAAATGTATAAAATAGAATGACTAGATTTTTTCCTAGCATGTAAACCAAAAGGCAACACAAGGTTCTTGTTTCGGGTTTTTTTTTTTAAATCTTTTTCTCCTTTTTGTCATTGAACCATGATGAATGAAATATTCAATTTTTTTGGTTTTCCAGAACATTTATGATTCGCTAAATTCTGAAATGCTAATGGAATAGTAATGCCAAGGGACTAGTTGGCTTTTATGTGATTCAGAACAGAGGACTTTGAATTTTACCTTCCATATATGGTGAATAAATCAGCGCTGTATCAGGAGACGCAAAATTCATGAATAAATGCCTTTTGTAGCTACTCTTATCAAAGTAATCCTTAGTTAACAGGATATTTTTGTTTATTTTATTGTTCTTGCTGTTGGTTATGTCATATTATTTATAATAACTTCAATAAATGTTGCACGTTGGCAACTAAATTCATTTGAGATTGGAAATTGAACTGGTAACTTTGCTGTTATTGTGTATATATGTTCATTCAGGTGTGATCTATATTGTGAGAGCCAAGAAAGGAGGTGAACTTGCAAGTTCAAGATTAGGCCAAATACAGTACATGCAAAGTTTAAATATAGTTTGAATGATTTATTCTTAATACAAAATAAATTTTTATATTAATTAACACTTAGAAATTATCATATGTTTTGCATTTTTGTTGTTTTAATATCTATCTTTACAAAAATAAGGATGAATTTTAATTAAATTAAAATTGTTCAAATTCCTATTAGAAGAAATGCTAACATTTAATGCTCGGTTGTGCTATGAGTACAATTGTCTTTAATTATCGGATATCCATGTGTCATAAAAAAAAAAAAAATTGATACATGATATGGTTCCTCTTTATTTATGTTATATAACATCAATGCCAATATTAATATTAACTAAGAGGATTGGCTCCGCAAGAAAAATAAAGAATTGGTCATTCGATTTTAGTTTTAGGAAAAGAAAGTTGTATGCTTTCAAATTGAACCAATAAAAAAATTATGATTTAAATATCTCTTAAGAAAATTTAATTATTGCTAACCCTTATGATCAAGTCACACGCTTTCTTGATGCTTGCCTAATGACTTTCTTTATTGTAATAATTTTATCGTTTTTTACCTTTTGATAATTCTATCTTAGGAGAATTACAACAAGGACCAACTAAATGTAATTAATTATTCATAAGGACTTCCTATTTCCGCAACTACTCAAAAGAATTTTGGCTGGCCGAAAAAAAAAAAAAACTACTCAAAAGTATTTTAGCTTTTTTTTTTCCAAAAAAAAAAATTCTTATCAGAATGCTCTTCAACATTTAATAATATCACAAAGGAAATTTAAAATGTCACATTCAAGGGTTAGTTCTTCACAACATAATGAATTAATGTTTAAATTTTTGCTAGAAAATATACTCATGTTTAGTGGCTAACTGCAAATATAATTGCTTTTAATATGAGAATACCTACGAGTAATAACAACAAAATTCTTATCAATTCAACAATTATACCATATTCTTTTTTTAGAAAAATAACGGTAGCAAATAAAAAATTAGAAACGTTACTTTTAAATTTGACTTAATCTTCGTTCCTTAACACAACTGCACATGTTTCATAACTTAGGAATCCATTATTGAACTTATTCAGTTAAGATCCCTTCAAGCAGGTTAAAAAAAAAAAAATTAAGATCCTTTCAAGAAATTAAATAATGAAGAAACCACCTATAATTTTCCGAGATATTATATAAGAGCAACATTTTTGGAAGCAAAAAGGTTTTTGTTTGCATCTAACCCAAGTGGATGACTAGTTCATGGCTGATAGTAGACGTGCTATTATAGTATTATAAAAATTTTATATTTAAAGATTAAAAAATAAATCATGAATATATAAAATTAAAAAATATTTAACCAAATAGCTTAAGTTATTTTGATAGAGCATACTATTCTTAACATATTTAAGATAAGAAATTGAATACATGCTTTCATATTTCATTACTCCTCTAACTTAAAAAAAAGTCATGCTTAATTAATTTTACAGGGACTGAAAAAAGGAGTTAAAAATAGGTTAATTCGTTAACTTTATAAAAACAATTATTTTCCAACGGTATCTTTAATAAATTCAAATATAAGATTAATTAATTATAATACTTATTGTATTCTAGTCAAAGTAAATTGGAAAAACTTAATAACCTAGGAAATATCAATCAAATATAATTTATATTTTAGAACAGGGAAAGTTAAGAAAACTCATCAGTCATTAGGCTTTTTTGGCCCAAAAAATTAGAGATTTTTTTTTAACCGAAAGAAAATAATCTGGAGGTTGGGACAAAGAACTTGTAACAAGTAAAAAGTAAAAATATTATGAATGAAAATCTTCTAAAGTTAACTCCCTAAACTTTTCTGAATTTGAAAATATTTGAGTCATCAAATAAATCAAGTGATGATTCATACATTTGATTTTAATTCATAGACAATAATGCAAATATAGGGTAATATTAATATATATTCCTATGCAAAATAGAGAGAAAAACTGGAAGACTTTGACACTCCAGGATAGAGTGAATCACAAACACTTATTTAATCAAATATTTTCAAATTCAAGAAAGTTTATAGAGTGAATTTTTTATCCAAATGATAGAATTATCTCAGTTTTCTAGTGGAAAGTCTTGGGCTCCAAGTAAACGACTTTGTAACAAAGAATAGGGATTAAGCCATTTGATTATGAATATAAAACATAAAAAACTGTATAAGCACATCAAGAAAGATGTAATCCATCAGGAAAATCTAACCACGCCATTCTCTAATCCTCTAATACTCTAGTTATCAAATTACCACTATCGGAATCTGAAGTTGAAAAGAAATGGCAGAAAGTCCGGTGTTGTTCATACTGGACAAAATGACATCTTTATTGCAAGAGGAAGTGAATCTGCTGAAGGGTGTTCGCACAGAGATGCAGTTCATCAAAGATGAACTGGAGCGCCTCAAGGCCATTTCAAGGGTGGCTGATACTATGGAGGACAAAGAACCTGAACTCAAAGAATGGGTGAAGCAAGTCAGAGATGTAGCTCATCACGTGGAAGACGTCTTTGATGGGTTCGCTATTCGCCCCGTGAATTACCACGGCCACGACCACGATTCTCCTTGTAAAAGGCTTGCTTCTGCCATTCAAGCTCTCAGAGCTCGACATTGGATTGCTTCTGACATACAAGACATCAAGGGCAGACTGGAAACCATCGCCAAGGGTCGTCCCAGAATAACTGAGACTGGGTCAAGCTCGAGTCATCTGTATACATCGAGGCTTGATAGTCAAGGAGGTGTACTTCTGCTTGAGGAAGCTGAACTTGTGGGTATTGAGAAGCCAAAGAAGCAGCTGAGTGACTTGCTTTTCCAGGAGGAGCAAGGAAAGGTGGTGATACCTATCTATGGAATGGGTGGGCTGGGGAAAACCACGGTGGCAAAGCAGGTCTATGATGACCCAAAATTGAAAAAGCGTTTCAAGATGCATGCTTGGGTCACAGTTTCCCAATCTTTCAAGATCAAGGAGCTCCTAAGAGACCTGGTTCAACAGCTTTATAAAGTTATAGGGACACCAGCTCCTGCAGAAGTTGGCACAATGAAAAGTGACAATCTGAAGGAGGTGGTCAAGAGTCTGCTTCAACAAAGCAGGTACCTCATCGTCCTGGATGACATATGGCGGGTAAATGCGTGGGATGCTATCAAACTTGCTTTGCCTAACAACAACTATGGCAGTAGAATAATGCTCACCACAAGAAACAGAGAAGTAGCACTTTCTTGCTGCACTGAGTTGCAAGGCGAGATCTATAACCTGGAATTCTTACCTGAGCATGAAGCATGGTCTCTTTTCTGCAAGAAAACATTTCAGGGGAATGCATGTCCTCCTCATTTGGAGGAGTCTTGCAAGACTATCTTGAAAAGATGTGGGGGATTGCCGCTAGCAATTGTGGCAATCAGTGGTGCCTTGGCTACAAAAGACATGACCAACATAGAGAAATGGCTGGTTGTTAGCGGAAGTATTGCATCTGAGATTGGAAGCAGTGACAAAATGGAGGATATGAAAGTGCTTTCCCTAAGTTTCAACGAATTGCCTTACTATCTTAAATCCTGTTCGTTGTACCTGATCATCCTTCCAGAATTTTATGTCGTTGACCATATGAGGTTGATTCGCTTGTGGATAGCTGAAGGGTTTGTCACGGGAGAAGGAGGAGGACACTGGAAGAAGTCGCAGAGAGTTACCTGAAGGAGCTCTTGAACAGGAGCCTGATTCAAGTGGTAGAGAAAGGCAGTGATGGCAGGTTGAAGACTTGTCGTGTTCACGACTTTCTACGGGACATACATCAATTTGAAGTCAACAGATCAAAACTTTGCAACATTGGCCACAGACCAGAACATGATATGGCCAGAAAGAGTTCGTCGCCTGTCAGTAATGAGTAGTTTACAGAACGTACAGCAAAACAGGACCTCATTCCAATTGCGTTCTCTGCTATTACTTTCTTTAGCAGATTCACATGATGATATCTCCATATCTTCACTATTCTCAAATGGTTGTAGGCTGCTCAAGGTACTAGACTTGCAAGATGCACCTTTGGAATCGTTTCCTGCTGAGATTGTCAACCTTTTCCACCTGAAGTATCTAAGCCTGAAGAATACCAAGGTTAAAAGCATTCCAGCTTCCATTAAGAAGCTTCAATTTTGTTCCATTTTCCTTGGTGCTGCAATCATGAACTTGGTGCTCTGTATGAAATGCATAAAATAGAATGACTAGATTTTTTCCTAACATGGAAAACAAGGGGCAACACAAGGTTCTTGTTTGGAGTTTTTTTTTTTTTTTTTTTTCCGTTGAGTTTTTCTCCTTTTGTCATTGAACCCCGATGAATGAAATATTCAATTTTTTTGATTTTCCGGAACATTCATGATTCGTTAAATTTTGAAATGCTAATAGAATAGTAATGCCAAAGGAATAGTTGGCTTTTATGTGTTTCAGAACAGAGAACTTTGAATTTTACCTTCAATATATGGTGAATAAATCAGCGCTGCATCGATCAGGAGAAGCAAAATTCATGAACAAATGCCTTTTGTAGCTACTCTCACCAAGTAATCCTGAGTTAATAGGATTTTTTTTTTTATTGTTCTTGCTGTTAGTTATGTTATATTACTTATAATAACTCCAATGAATGTTACATGTTGGAAATTACATGTTGGTAACTTTGCTGTTAGTGTGTGTGTTCATTCAGGTGTTTAAATAGGAGGTGAACTTGCATGTTCAAGATAAGGCCAAATACAGTACATGAAAAGTTTAAATACAATTTGAATGATTTATTTTTAATCTACGCTATAATTTTTTTATATTCAACACTTAAAAATTATCATATTTTTTTAATATTGTTGTTCTACTATTTATTTTAAGAAAATAAGGATAATTTTAATTAAATTAAGGTAGTATTTGGATTAATGGATTTGAATTTTAAATTTAAAATCTTAAATTTAAAATTTCACATTTAAAATATATATATATATATATACATATATGTATTTAAAATCCTTTTGTTTAAACAGTGTAAAAAAAATTTGAAGATAGAAGAGAAACAACCTAAAATTCTAAGCATAAACGAGAGATTAGAAGTAAAGAACTTATTTATATTTTTCAACTGGTGAGAGATAAGAACGACAAAAGAGAGGGGTAATGAGAATAATATAAATGCCAACAATGAAAATGTAAAAAAAAAACCAACAATGAAAATGTAAAAAAAAAAAAAGAGGCTTATAGTAGTTGAAATTTTAAATAACCAGAATTTAGAGGGAATTTAAAATTATAACAAAATTATAACAAAACATAAATTTATATATTTGAAGCAAATTTAAATACATAATTTTTTATCTATATTTGGTTCAAATCTAAATCATTAAATTCAAATTCTCGCACACTCCAAGATGATTTGACATGTAGATAAACTGATATCTGTGAGGCAAAACCATTTGAAATTGTGTCCCTCATGTCTTTAGAAGTCTGCCAGCTTTTAATATTGTTGCGTGCCGCCAGCTTAGTTGGATACATGATATGGTTCCACCTTAATTATGTTATATAACATCAACGCCAATATCAATATATAACTTACTTGTTTGGAAAATATATATAGGAGAGGATTGGCTCCACAAGAAAATAAAGAATTGGTCATTGGTTTTAGTTTTAGGAAAAGAAAGTTGTATACTTTCAAATTGAACTAATAAAAAAATTGTGATTTAAATATCTCTTAAGAAAATTTAATTATTGCTATAGTGCTAACCCTTATGATCAAGCCACACGCTTTCTTGAATGCTTGCCTAATGCCTAAGATTGACTATGTTTATTGTGTTTATATATATATATATATATATAGGTAGAAACCGGGGCAAAAGCACCCTCCATATCTCGACACAACCCAAGAGGAATCTCAATGGGAGATTCAATCAGAATTTTATGACTGTGTTGCTGCATAATAATACCCATCTTAGCAAGTAAATTCGCACACATGTTAATTTCACAGAAAATATGCCTCGCCTCCACTTGCCAATCTCCTTCAATAAATGATAGTGCATGCCCGAGTTGCCTCAAGTTTGTCCCGCCTTCATTTGCGGCTATATCCCATTCTCAAATGGTGGCAGAAGGATCACTTTCAACGATCACTTTCTTCATGTCGAGAGTCTGTTGTTTGTAATCCATAGAATAGGCTCCATAACTCTGCTTCCAGTGCAGTGCAAATGCCGAAATTGCAGGTGAAGCTTCCAAGCCATTTGTCTTCTGCGTTCTTGAAAATGCCTCCACATCCGGCTCCCAACCTTCCCTTCAATGCCCCGTCAATGTTGAGTTTGATCCACCCTTGAGGTGGTGCTTCCCACTGCGTGTGAGATAATGGACAAGTATTAAGCATACTTGTTAAAATATATTAGGTTTTAATTGTATAAGATTTTTCAAACCTTTAGTTTTGATGAATATTAATAAGAGAGACCCGACTGTCATTGTTTTCGTTATCTGACAAAATCAATTTTTTATGTAAATTATATATTCATTTAACAAGTAACAATAGATAATTAATAAATATTATTGAAGAATTAATAAGTAAAGTTATGCAATTAACAAGTAATTTAATTGTTTTTTTCTAAATAACAGTTAAACAAATGTTGTTATGGTATTAATAAGTTAAGTTATGCAATTAACAAGTATTATTACGTAATTAACAAGTAAAGTTGCATGATTAACAAGTAATGAAGTTCAGTTGAAGAAGTCATCGATTCGACGAGTAAATTCAAGTAATTAACAAGTTTTATTAAAGTATTAACAATGATAGTTACGCGATTAACAAATAATGTAGTTCTGTTGTGAGAATCATGAACTTAACAAAGAGAGTTAAGTAATTGATAAGTTCTGTTAAGATATTAACAAGTATATTATGTGATTAACAAGTAATTTATTTTTGTTGCAAGAGTCATGGGGTTAACAAAGAAAGTTAAGTAATTAACAAGTCTTGTTAAGGTATTAACAAGTAAAGTTACACAATTAACAAGTAAAGTAATAATCAAATGGTTTGAAAATAAGGTTTATCATATATATAATTTTATACATTATATGATTAAATGGGTTAAGTGGTTTAGTGATTTAAAATTTTTTGATGAACCAAAGAGTCTTGAGTTCTACACTTACCTTGGTCACTTTTAAAGAAATTAATTTTCATAATGCTATAGCCACCACTGACGGTGGTCTAACCAGTGGCTGAAGCTTTGGCAATAAAGGGCTATTGGCTGCCATTACAGGCGAAGCTTCAGTCGCGGGCGACAATGGCTAGTGGTTTTTTTTTAAATATCTAAAGTGAGAGTATTTTGGCCTTTTTCACTTTTAACTTATTTTTAATTTAATTTTATAGAACTGAACTGATATTTTAAAATTTTTTGGGAGCCAACTGAAGATATGTTGCTTCCCTAATCCTAAAATGAAATTCTCTCTAATTTAAATCTCACTCCTCTACTCTTGTATAAAGCAAAGAGAAAAAAAATTCAATCCTATTTATAAAACACTTATCAATTTTTAATATTTTTTTTATATTTTTATCATATTAAATGTCTTGAATAAAAATATTAATAATAAAATTTAAAAATATTTATTAAAAATTAAAATTAAAATTTTTTAAATTTTAAAAAATAAAATTAATAAAATTTAATTTTTTTATTTTAATAAAATATATTAAAAGTGATTTATAAATAAAATTAACTGTTTAAATTTTTAATAATTAAATTTAAAACAATATAGCGCTCACAGTTGATTGTGGAATTAATGTCTGTTAGCGGGCCCCACATGTCTTTTTTTTTTTTTTCCAGCCACCCACTCCATTTCTCACTCCTCCATTGTTCATGTCGGTCTCCCCCAGTGTGCGTCTTCGTTCACGCCATCGATCTTTTCCATGGTGGCGGCTAAATGCGGAGAAGTGTTCCTCCTATTGTTATAAGTTTGCAGGGCCTCTTTAGGGATCGTGTTGATCCTTATAGGACATAATGGACTTCACCATTCCTGACCTTCACTGCTGTGAAAGAAAACAAGAGTGAACAACCCAACCGACGCCTCACTCGTCACCACCAGATCGTTGAACTCCTCGTCCATGTCCTCGATCCCTTGAAACTTCTGCAGCTTCTTCCTCTCTCCGTCGTGGTCCCTTCGAGTTCTGTGTGTTGGGAAGAAGGAGGGAGCCGACGCCGTGGGGCTGCTTAGGCTCAGTGACAGTCGCCATTCAATTGTTTTCGTCATTTGATGCGGATGCTTACTGAGCTACTAACTTTTATATATTTAGAGCTGAGAGGATATTGATCTACATAATGACTGAGGCCTCATTGGTGATGTAAAACTTCTATTGCAGCGGGAGTGGCATGTTGAGTTATGTCATGTTGATCGAAAAGATAATAAGGAAGCAGATCTCCTTGCGAAAAGAGCCTCGTCTCTCTCATTTGGATTCCATTATATTGTCGCCGAGGCGCTTGATGAGCCGCTGTTAGGAGCTTCTTGATTTTGAGATTCGTTTTTCATTTATTTAATTTCCTTTCCTTTTGTATCAAAAAAAGAAGGAGAAGGAGAAGGAGAAGGGGAGAGAGAGAGAGCAAGACGGCTGGAGCGGGGGGAGAGGGAGGAGGAGAAAAGAGAGAGAAAGGAGGGAGAAAAGAAAGTGAAAGCAAAACATAATGGGGCCCACCAGGTGTCAGTGTAAACTACCAGCGTTAATCTGAAATAAACCGGGAAGGTATTGTCGCATATTTAATTATTTAAAATTTAAAATATATTAAACATGAGTATACCTAAGATTCATATCATTCTCTACTTATAGTTTAAAATTTAAATTGTAAATTAACTTTATTTTTTTATGGTTATTTGATTGAGTCATTCGAGCGTTGTCAAGCCCTATTTTTTTAAAAAAATGTTGTCTGTATTCACACTTATTAGACTCAATTTTATACTAGATTTTTTTAGCACATTCAATTAAGAACCTTTCAAGAAATTAAATAATGAAGAAACCTCCAAGAATTTTCCTATATATTATATAAGAGCAACGAAATTTTAGGAACAAAAAGGATCTTTTTTGCGTCTAAACCATACCCAAGTAGATGACTGGTTCATGCCTGATAGTCATGGTTGCATATTTTAATATTACTTCTCTATCTTAAAAATTAAGTCATGCTTAATTAATTTTATAGAGACTAAAAAAAGCAGTTAAAAGTAAGTTAACTCGTTTACTTTGTAAGAAAATTATTTTCCAATGTTATCCCAATGAATTCAAACATAAGATTAGTTATAATGAATACTCACTGTATTCTAGCCAAAGGTAAATTGAGAAAAAATTAATACCCTACGAAATATCAAATATAATTTATATTTTAAAATAAGAAAAGTTCAAAAAAAAACTTACATTTTAAGAAGGAGTAATGGCATGGCGTTTTCAATTATAGAAAACTCGTTAATTATTGGGTTTTTATCCTTGTGGTTTAAAATCATTGGTAGTATTTTTTAAGATTGTTAGGCAAAAATAAAAGGAAAGTGTCACGAGGCGTGTCTGAGACGTGGGATCTTAAAAGAAAGATCCCTTGTAAAGCTTGCCTTTTTGACTTTGGCTTTAGCCCCTTTGGTGTTGGCTCCTGTGACTTTGGCTCCTGTGATTCCAGCCCCTATGGCTTTGGCCCTTCTGGTGGTAGCCCTAGTGGCTTTAGCTCTTATAGCTCCAGCCTCTTTGGTGTTAGCCCCTATAGTTTTAGCCCTTGTGGCTCTGACCCCTGTAGCACTAGTCCTTGTAGCTCCAGCCCCTTTGTTGCTGGCCCTTGTGGCTCCGACTCTAATGGTTCGTCCCTTCTGGTACTGACCCTCTTGGTGCTAGCCCTTGTGGTGCTGGCCCTTATGGCTCTAGCCCCTCTGATGTTGGCTCTTTTGACTTCGACCCTTATGGTTCCAACCTCAGTGGCTCTGCTATCCCTTGTGGTTGCAACCCCTCTAATGTTGGCCCATATAGTTCTGGCCCCAATGGCTCTGCTGGCCCTTATAGTTCTAGCCCGTTTGGTGCTAGCCCCTATGTTTTTGGCCTTAGTGGCTCCGCTAGCCCTTGTGGCTCTGGCTTCCTTGGTGCTGGCCCTCATGGTTTCGGCCCCAATAGTTTCGCTAGCTCTTGTAACTCTGGCCCCTATGGCTCGTACCCTAGTGGCTCCGCTAGCCCTTGTGGCTGCAGTCCTTTTGGTACTAGCTCGTGTGGTTCTGACCTTAGTGGCTCTGCTAGCCCTTGTGGCTCCACTCCCTATGGCTCCTGTGGTTTTAGTCCTAGTGGCTCCGTTGACCCTTGTGGCTCCGACTTCCTTGATGCTGGCCCCTATAGTTTTAGCCCTTATGACTCTGGCTCCTTTGGCATTACCTGACCCTTATGGCTTCGGCTCTTTGGTGTTAGCCCGTGTAGTTTCGGCTCCTCTGGTGCTGGCCCTAGTGGCACCACTGGCTCTTATGGTTTTGACCCCTTTGGTGCTAGCTCCAATGGCTCTGGCCCCTCTGGTGCTAGCCCCAGTAGCTCCAGGCCCTCTAGTATCAGCCTCAATGGCTCTGACTCTTTTGGCAATGGCCCTAGAGGCTCTAGCCCCTTTGGTGCTGGCCACTGTGGCTCCACTGGCCCTTGTGGCTTTAGCCTTTATGGTCAAGTAGGCTTACTATTGAATTAAACTTGCCATTTATCCTTTGAGAGATGTTATAGTAGTCCTCGTTGTTGATCTTTTAGTTGAAGGGCACATTTAGAGACCACCCCTAAGTCCATCTATTCTCTAAAGGTGCAAGCCAATTGGAGCTTGCTTAGGCAATGGTTTAGACAGCATAGCAGAGATATTCCTTAATCCATCCTTTATAGTTTGTCACATAGCTCTTTTTCTCTCGTTAGCTCAAGACTCAACTCTATTATTTCCAACAATATATTGATTCTTAGGTGTCCTAGACATTCCGTTCACAGGAGTCCCACCAAGCATGCCAAAAATTGTTAGGCAAAAATGAAAGGGGAGTGTCGTGAGGCGTGCCAGAAATACAGGGTCTCAAAAGGATGGAAGAACATGATTTCTAATTGTAACATCTTGATTTTTATATAATAAAGAAATTGTGGAATTTAGGTTTTGAGGAAAAAAATGATAATAATAGGAATTTATATTATTTGAGGTTATTTAGAAATAATATTATGGTTAGATATTTAATTATGAATTTAAAAATTTAAATTTAAAACTACATAAGCAATATTTAGTTAAGATATAATATATAAATAATTTTGTTATGTGTGTGTTAAAAAAAAGAGAAGGTAGAAGGAACAAAAAAAAAGGGGGTGGAAGGTTATTGTTTTTAAGTCCCACATTGGTTAGATGAGGGAAGAGAAGAGGTGCCTTCATGTATAAAAAGGAGGGAGTATGTGCATTAGGAAGCATGAGAGGCTAAGATGCAATTTAGAGGAAATTGCAACTTATGGCCCAAAGGTTTGAATAATTAAATTCAGACCTATAGTTTTTTTTAATATAATTTTGGGACTCACAATTCCATTTTTATATCATTTTTTTCTCTTCCTCTCACGTTGCTCGGCGTTTTCTCGCAAGGGGGGATTATTTTCTTTTTCTTCAGGTATGTTCTAACTTTCCTGTTTAGATTAGCATTTAAAAAAAATTATTTAATTACAAAATTAATTTTATAGTTATTTTCTAAATAGTATTAGCTTTCTAGTGATATGATTATTTTGTAGGATAGAGTAAATATTCTGATTAAGATTTTTCTATAGGATAGTTAATTTGATGATTTGATAGATTAAAAATATAGGTTAAAGCTCTTAGGGATATAATAAATATTATAGAATATTTTCTTGAGGTTGAAACTCATGTTTAAGAATTTTTGAGTTAAAATCTAGATCTATATGGTTGAATTTATGTGCAATCTGAGATGTAGGGATAAACCTATGATTATTAAATATTTATTTAAATATGAATAGGTATTTTTGAGGTTATAGAAAGGTGATTTGAGGCTTCAGTATAATTTTAAAATTTTTAATTTATTTTTGAACGAATTTTTAGAATATAGAAGGATGAAATTGTGATACTAGAAGTGATTTGAGGATAAAAAAAATAGTTTATTAGGGTATGAGAATTTTAGAAAAGAATTTGGGAAGTTAAATGAGGCATAAATCTTAAATTAGTGTTAATATGGATTATAGATCTAAGACTTTCTAACTATTTAAATTAGAGTTATTTATTTTAATGTAAAATTAATATATAGTATTGTGAAATAATTATATAGATTATATTGACAAATATAGTGGTGAAAAAGGAGTTGTGAAGGGGAACTTGTTATTCAAGACACAAGGTAACCATTATTAATGTGTTGTGATGGGTGTGTTTGTGAATGGTTATGTGTTGTTTTGTTGTTTGAAAAAATTATGAATTATTGAAAATAAATACTGTTATATACTTCTGTGAAATCATTGTCAAGTGGGTTAAAAATTTATTTTTGTTTATCATGATGAGATATTATTGTTCGGATATATTTCTGTTTGGATATTTGAATGATACATGACTTGTCAGGGTATTTTAATGTATGGTGTTAATGGGAATTTCTGTTCGGTTAATTATTACCATGTGGTAAGCCCTCATTGGACCCAATGAGTGGCGTGTCGCTTGGTCCAACTCACCTTTGGCCAGGTGATTTGGCGTTCGAGCATGGCGAAAGGAGAATATAAGGTGCAGTCATGCAAATTAAATACTTGTTCGGTTTGTTTGAAAATATTGTTCAGTTAAATGTTTTGTGTGCCCACTTAGCAATCGCATGATTAGTTACATCCGCATGCATCATTACATATTAATTTTTGGTTACTGGGACTTTTAAGTCTCATTCCCCGTGATTAACATTTTTACAAGAGCGAGTCCGGCCGAGAAAGCACCAGAGGTGTAACTATGGTATATGAGACACCATCTTTTACGTTACCTCTTATTTTGGATTATACAATGTATCTTGTGCCAACTTAGGACATATCTTCTTTGTGAAGCATGTAAACTCTAATCCTTTTTATTAAAAGTATTTATATGACCAAGAGGATTATATTTGTCCCTTTTGATTCATGACCTGATTTGAATAACATGCTATGAGGATCATGTCTGTCCCTCATGGTTTTAATTACTTTTTGAGATATTTTAAAACCTGTGGTATATTGTCTTGGATGTATCATGATAGAAATTTTTCTACCATGATAAGGGTATGATAAGAGTTCAATGAAAAAAAAAGAAAAAAAATGATTTGTTGAATTAATAATTTGCGAAAAATCGGTTTGTATTTTTGAGGGTATTACACTAATCAAATGTGAGGAACCCAAATTCCCTTACCACAGTTCACCCTAATATGAGAATGCAAAGTAAAGAAAATTAATGTAAATGCAGAAGAGTAGATATACATTAATTAAGGAAAGAGGTGGCGGGGCTATGCCAGCCATATAATGAAAAATAAAGACTAAAATTACATAATAAAAGGGAAAATAAAATAAAATAACAAATTCGAAGTCTGAGAATTTGATTAATAGTTTGTTAATATTGATGATAATTGTTGAGAAATAGCTTTTCTATTTATAAATGATCCTGACTTGATATCCAAGCCTCATGATCGCTAATTTTTTTGAATTTAAAAACCACTTCCTCTATCATGGTTACTTATCATGGGTGGAGTGTGAATGACTTAGTGGCTAAAGTTTTATAAATATTTTCTTTTAATTATTTTGAAACCAATTAAGATGAATTGAGCTTGGACTTTCAAATTCAAAATTTGGGTACAAACAGAGATTCAGTTATCTAATTCTCTAATTATTTGATCCTTGTGTTTTCAATCAAGCTATTTTTTGGGATTAAGCTATCTAATTATGGATATATATATATATATATATATAAAAAAAAACTGTATAAACACCTCAACAAAGATGAAATCCATAGGGAAATCTTGCTAACCACACCATTCTCTAATTAACACTCTAATTATTATCATATTACCACTATATCCGAATCCGAAGTTTAAAAGCATGGCAGAAAGTCTGGTGTTGTTCATACTGGACTGAATTGCATCTCTATTGCAAAAGAAGGTGAGGTGTCCGCACCACCTTAAGGCCAATTCAATGGTGGTGGTTGATGCTTTTGAGGACAAAGACCCTGAGCTTAAAGTTTAGGTGAAGCAAGTCAGAGAGGTAGCTCATCACGTACATGGAAGACCTCTTTGATGGGTTCACGTACATGGAACATCAGAGGCAGATTCGAAATCATCTCAAAATTTCATCCCACCATAACTGAGTATACATCGAGGTTTGATCGTTGTTGGAATATTACTCAGTTAATTAGCTCCAACCAAAGACAATCAAGGCTAATGAATTTTATTTCTTACAGTATTAACGCCTCTTGTATTTTGAGTTTAAATATGTATAACTTATTTAATATTGTCAACTAGGATTATGTTTTGGTATATTTGTACCATTTAACTGTTTATTTTGATTGGTGATATCTTGAGCCCTAGAATATGAGTTATGTGCGAGGAAGCATATGTACAGGGCCAAAAACTGATGTACGTGTTATAATTATATGGATGATTGTGAATAATTATAATTACATTTAATGATGGAAACCTCCCCGGCTGATTTTGGAAATCATGAGGTTAAGGGTTGAATTTGAGTTATATATTGTATTTGACTGCAGTAATGTATTTGCATAGATTGTCTTAAGTCTCTTAAATGTAATCTATGAGTTTATGTTTTAATTATGAGTTTACCCAAAATCATACCCAAAATCATGAGTTTGACAACCTTGATTTTATGAATAAAAATAAGTTTATCTAATCAAGTTAGATCACTGATTCTCGTTGCTGGTATAAGAAAAAAAAGATCACCGGCACTGGTTTGGGTCTCATATGAAGTCAAGTGATATACTCCTTTCGTTAAAAAATATAAGGTATTTTTTAAGAAGTTGGATATTAAAAAATATAAAATATTTTTAATCTTTCGAAGTGTAATTATTATCTGTTTTTTAAAAGTGTCCCTATTAATAATGACTTTATATTTATTATAGAGTGTTTAATAGGAGTAAATATAAAAAGATAGAATTAGTTAAAAAGTAGACAATAACTTTATTAAGGGGTGAGATTTAATTAAAAATATTTTGTATTTTTGAAGGGAGGGAGTATGTCTCTTGATATCATTATTTCAGAATATTAATTCCGTTGCTCTTGGTTGTTGAAGGCATCAGGTTCTTTTGTGTTCTTTTGTAAACTCTTTCCCTCTCTATCTATCCCTCACCTGTAAAACCTCCTCCATCCCTTTCACTCTTCCATTGTAAGCTCTTTCGCTCTCTCTCTCTCTTTTATTAATAATAATTTTGCTTTTATAATTCATTCCAATATGAAAGAAGCAGAAAAACCTTTTTGGTTTTTCTATTATATGAGAGTACCATGGATTATGAGCTGGTGCTTTCGGTAATGGATCAAAGACCACCTTGCCCTTCCATTTATTATCTTGTAAGAATCTTCAAGGTAAAATGGTGGGATAAATATATTCAAAATTATGCGGGCAAAGAAGCAGTCATAAGAAAAATTCAAGGATTATTGAAACAAGTAACCCAACAAGTAAAGCAAAAGGTAGAAGCATCAACATCCTTTCAAGC